AGTGAATCAGTGTCCTATTTAGCGATTCTTCTCCTTCATATTTACCTTTTACCACTTTGTATGTGATCATTGCCAACGGGTGATTTAGTGTGAATTTTTAAACCACTCGGCACTCACAAATTTTATATATAAAAAGAAACATATCTTACTGGGTATAATAAATAAGTATTTATCTTAATATTCTTTTAAATAAATTATAGCTTCATGTATAAAGGCTATCTGTCTACGTAAGATTTCTCAAAATCTTTGACTATACAGGAAATAGATTTGGTGTACACACGCTAGAACTCATGCAAATTGTAATCGTTAGATGAAGATGATGTATGACTCGTTTATTTAATTTGACTTGTGGATTATGAAGTTATTGAAATCTGAGTGGTTTAACTTCATTTAACGGTTCTAATTTGAGTGAGTGTAAATATGTAACTAAATCTTTGGGATCCGAATTTTGTGTTCTGGAAAGGGCTTAAGACTCGATCCGTATAGCAATCCAAATTTGTAAGCATTGATTAAAGTTAACACTAAGACATAGGACCAATGCTATGCATTTATGAACTGTGAATTATATATCTATGGAGAGTAAAGTTATCTAGTTACTAAATTCAGATAGAATATTATTGCTCTCAAGGGAATCTAGCCTATCTCACATCTTATAAATACCATTAACATCACTATATTAGATACGTACACGTATTAATATATCATCACTCCGGTGGAATACATGAGCATCAAAGTAAAGTATCTTTCGGTTGTATTCACTCATTTTTTTACGAAGTCTTAATCTTGTCGACAAACCCACCAGATTAAGATGATCACCTCGATTAACTCAGGAAGTTTTGTTTAACCTACGTCCAAATTCATCGGTCCACTTTAGACTTTTGTTAACTTAGTCTTTAGAAAAATTATTAGATTATATGCACCATCATATTCTTACATGTAACACATACTTAAATGCTATTATTTTTATCATATAGATTATAAGACTTAATGAGTGTTGGATAAATTCTTCAACATACAAATAGAATTTTCCATACGTTCAAATATCTAAAATGGAATATAGACCAGAGCTTTATTTCTTGATTTTATTAAACTAAAATACAAAATTTATCTTATTTTTTATATTTATTTTTTTAAATTATACTTTTGATCTTTTATCTTATTTATATTTATGTTGGTTATTTATTTTTAAATTGTTTATTTTAGTCATTTATTTCCTAAATTTAAGTTAATTTAGTTTTTTTTTAATTTTTTTGAAATTTATTATATTTACTTATATGAAAACTATTGAAAATAATTAAAGTTTAAATCAAAAGTGTTATGTATATGGTGAAAATAAAAAATTTCAAAAAAAAATTAATACTATTTTTTAATTGTTCACGGAATATATTTTTCACACGATTTTTATTATGTTTATAATCTTTTTAATTTGAACGTCAATTGCATTTAATAATTTTCATATGAATGAATATAATGTTACAAGTTTTACATCTTGAATCAGTCAAAAGTTGATTCAAAATTGTGTTGCAAAATTAAAAATGATCAATATTTTAAAAAGATCAAATTGATCCAAGACCAAAAGTATAATTTAATTAGTCTATATCATCACATCCTAATTTTAAAAAACAAAATAAATACCTAAAAGAAATTTATTCAAATAAGTTGATAAAATATGCAAATCAAAATAATATCTTAAAGATTACAAATTCTTAAAGTAATTGATCCTCTTCATTTCTCACCAACTCCATTTATTTTGAAATTTGAATTGTTTTTCAAGCAATTTCTCCCTTAATTAAATTTTTTAAATAATCGTCTCATCATATTAACCTTCTCAAAGTAACAAATTTTGTTCATTTTTTTTTACCATTGGAATATCAAGTACTTCCTCCTCTTGTACACTTTGCATTCCTAAATTAAACTAACATATGTCTAGCCATATGATGTTACATCTTCCAATCAAATGGTATCGGGAGTAGTATACATTTTGAACATGATTAAAAATTTGATCTTCCTCTCAATCCATCCTATCTTCATAAAACAACTCTTCCCTTGTTCTGACCATTGCATAAATGACCTTTAATATCAAAATTTCCATTTGTCGTTATATATTCTCTCATTTTCCCCATAGAGTGATGGTCACCACACCATCTAATTATAATGATGTTTTCCTTAAAAGTAACGTCTGAACCAAACATTTGTAAGACTTCAATAATAAAGTCAACAACAACATTGTTTATTCATCAAATATTTTTTTCATTTGGATTCAACAATTGATATAATAGTCCGTTGAAATTATTAATATAACTATAAAGATTTTTTCTTATTTCTATTTTGAATTGATACAACTTCATTTTTAAACATAGACAATTGGTTCATAACTTAGACATATAAATCCTTTTGAATTTCTCTCACTAAGCTTTCGATAATGTTTTTTTGACACCTTGTACTTGATCTTGGGAGTAGTCGACTTTTTATCTTTCAAAATTTGATCAAGACTTTATTACACTAAAAAAATCTTGAACAATATGTTATCAAATCATAAAATTTGTATTGTTATCAAATAACAGGATATCAAACTTTTATGTGTTCTGTATTATGACTTAGATACCACTTTCAAAAAAACTCCTCTACACATAATAAAATTTTTCACGCAACCAAAGATCTGAAGAGAAACATTTACACATTAAAATTTTATTTATTAGTTTTATGTATTGAACTAAATTGTAACACAAAATTCAAATATATCATCATCTTAATTTTAAAAAATGAGTAAATCTCTAAAAAAATTAAAACAAATTGATAAAATATATAAATCTCAATAATATCTTACGAATTCTATCTTCTTAATTTTTCACTCATTTCATCTATTTTGAAATTTTAATTATTATCCCATAATTACATATTACGTAAAGATTGAGGATGAAAATTGAAACTTGGTTGTCCAAATAATTTATCCAATTTCGGACGCATCAGCTTGTACGTTTGCCATTGCGAGCGAAAAGTCCGTCATGACTGCTCTAATACTCTGTCAATCTGACATATTAACGTGTGTTTCACATTATTCATACGATGGTGTGGAACTTCTGGGGTGCAAATTTATTCTGCCCGTGGGACACTCTTTGGCTCATTAAACTTTTGAACATGCACCTTGACCAAGTTCAATCCTCTATTCACGTACGTCGCAGTTATTAAGCATTGACTACCTCCTTCCAGTTTCGTGGTTATCCATTTATGAACGGACAAAATAAAGAGGCAAAAAGGAGGAGAAACACATGCTATGCACAACATCTACCATGCAAGAGTTTTGGTAGTATATATACAATATGCAAAATGATGATCATATAAGATTAATTATATTATATATATTCCCAGCTGTTAAAATTTCAAAGTGTAATAATAATATGGTCTAAATTTAATATGCATGGAAATCATATTAAATACAAGAAAGCACTTGCAACATGATTGAGACAGCAACGTTTCCTCCGCTTGTTACAGAGAGAAAAATGGTTCAATAATAAAAGCAAGAGAAATTATCATATGCTACAAGATTATCACAATCTGATTAACATGACACGATTAATTCTTTCTCATAAATTAAAAATCTTAAATACGATTAATGTAGAGATTGGACAGTACCTAAGATATGTAATGGTCATAATAATTTCTCCAAAACAGTGCCACAAGTTCGAAGCAGTTGGTCGGTCCATGATCTAACTGTTTCTTGGTGGGGGCACTTAATCCCTGGTTTGGTTAAGGCGACATGCTCCACATAATGTCATGAAATTAATGTTGAAGAGGATTGTCAAACGACCTGCAATTGCCATTGGAACACTCTGAGAAATAGTCTTGGCTGTGTCCCCCCCATGGTTGAATCAAGGTCATCATAGTTTCTAGTTCTGTCTCCTTAAAATAAGAGAAGAATCAAAAATTTATAAATATACACAAAATTTTATTTGATACCAAACATTTTGACTGATTTTAAAAACAAATTTATGAGAGTGTAAGTTCAAAGTAAATAATATCATACCAAAATATGTATATAAATATTTGATAAACAATAAAATATATAATACTCTTTCTTGATAATATATCTTAACAAAGACCTTGATGAAAGTTTTTTGGGGCAAATTAGCTTAAATGTGTTAAGATATTTATCCTTTTAACCTTATAGCCTTGAATTTATTGAATAGTGAGTTACTGTAACGGTTGCCAAAATCAACTGTTGTCTAAACGTTAACACAATTGTTTCCGCTAATTATGGGAAAAGGCATGCTTTGGAGGTTGGATAGTGAACTCTTGAGAATGGAGATGCATACTTAGTTCTCAATTAATGTTTTGATTGAGAAGGAGCCCACTTAATTAATACCTTGCCACTTCTTCCATCTTGATCCCAAAATATAATGTATTGACTCCTTCTCTCCACTTTTCTAGAGAATTCCAAAAAAAAAAAAATCTTATTTTATCCTAATGTATGGTTATGTTGCTCATGACCAAAAACTCCTTGATCAAAATAATTGTGATGCCAAAAAAAAAAAATCGTTAATATATTTTTCTTGCAATTTTAATAGCAAAATATGATTACCCATATAACAAAAATTTGCCAATATACTTTTGCCACATATATTATAATTCATTTTTTATTAAAAAAATGGAATAAATTATTATACATAGACTAATATAAATTTTATCACTTAATTAATATTAGTAATCTCATCTGTTTTTTTTTTTTTAATATTCAAGACTCTAATTACTCCAGCTCATAGAGACTGAACTGTGAAGTGGTGCATCAAATATCATTCTTAATTCTTAAATATTACGTTTATTTCTAATGATTTCAATCATTTTACGGCAATTATTCTAAACAGTTTTAATATTGTCTCTGCTTCTCAGCAAGAACATAATTATAATTTTGGGAAAAAAACAATTGGCCTGGCATCATATGCATTTTTTAAAAGAAAGTGAAAGATATCAAGGTGAGAGCGTGTATAAAACAAAGTACCACTCTCTGCAGTACATCCATACCCAGTTGCCACATTCTTTGACCAACTCTCTCTATTCTATTCTAGGCTTTATCCATTCCTTCACTTTCCTTGTTACCCCATGTGCTAAAAGCAAACACTCTTTTACTTACCCTTCCTTTCTGTTCCCTGCAATTCTCAAATCACACATTTTGGCTTTAATTTTGCTTTAGTAGTCTCAGCAAAGAATTAACAGGTAAAGCAAATCTCTCTCTTTCCTCTTCTGCTATCCATTCTAAAGAGATATAGACTCACATGAAAAGTGAAGAGTTTTAGAGCTGATCTTGAGGAATTTTAGCTGAGGCAGAATCCTTTCTCTTTATATGATCCAAGTCACTTTTTTTTTCTTTTTCCAGCACATGAATTGATAAAGATCAGATTTCAGGAAACAAGTTCAGATTATTTTCTGCTGCTGCTACGATGAAGGAGTTTCCTTCTTGTTTTGGAGAAAATGGTGTTCAGGTTGTTGATTCCTCCTATTCAAGCACCACAAGGGGAGCTCAAAATGCGGTCACTTGTGTCTATCAGTGTAAGTTAGGAGGCCGTTCATGCTTGATTACTGTCTCATGGACCAAAAATTTGATGGGACAAGGCTTGAGTGTGGGAATAGATGAGTTGGGAAATCATTGCCTTTGCAAGGTTGATATAAAGCCATGGTTGTTCTCAAAGAGGAAAGGGTCTAAGAACTTGGAGGTTGAATCTAACAAGATTGACATACTTTGGGACTTGAGCTGTGCTAAATTTTGTTCTGGGCCAGAACCATTGGAGGGATTTTACCTAGCTGTTGTGTTCAACCAAGAGATGGTGTTACTTCTAGGGGATCTGAAAAAGGAGGCATGCAAAAAGATTGATGGTGACTATGCTTGTGTTCACTCTGGTGCCGTTTTTATTGCAAAGAGAGAGCACATTTTTGGAAAGAAGTTTTATGGTGCAAAGGCTCAGTTTTGTGACAAGGGCCAAGTGCATGATGTGAGAATTGAGTGTGACACACTAGGGCTTAATGATCCGTGTCTTGTGATCCGAATTGATAGCAAGACAGTGATGCAGGTGAAGCAACTCAAGTGGAAGTTCCGGGGCAACCACACCATATTGGTGGATGGATTTCCTGTGGAAGTGTTTTGGGATGTACATAATTGGCTCTTTGGAAATGCTATGGGGAATGCAGTTTTCATGTTCCAAACTTGCATTTCAACTGAGAAATTGTGGGCAAGCCAATCTGTTTCGGATCCTTCTGTTCTGACATGGGCTTATTCTCAGCAGTTCAGGGATTCTCAGTTGCAAGGTCTTGGATTTTCTCTCGTTTTGTATGCTTGGAAGAATGAATAGTCAATATAGGAGTTATATCTTATTCTGGAGTGCTAAACTGGTATTGCCAGCCACAGTTTTCAACAATCATGTGATTACATTACATGAAACTCATAAACTCATCTTTTTGTTTGTCCTGTTATTTTCTCTTTTTTCTTATTCTCTTCGATTCAATTGCACATATATAGACCACCAGCCCCACGTATTCCTTGCATTGGAACTTTTGGAATAACTTCTTACGGTTTCTAAATGTCAGAGTCTGCTTCTCGCAGAAATTAGTTATTAGTTATATGGTTTATTAGGAGTTTAGAGTTGTGTAGAACAAAAACTTTAGAGTGGTATTGCAGTCGACAACGAGTTTCTCTTTTGTAGAGAAAAGAAAAGCACGACATAACAGTTTTGATAGATTTTTCAATTTTGTCTTTTAACTTCGAGAACAAATTGTTATTTCTCATTTTCATTTTCAACAATCAAAATAGCGCAAGGTTTGGCGGTTAGAACAAGCCTAAATCATAGTTGATGGTTTCACTTTCACAATCCGAAAGAAATTCACTACTTTCGACCAACCTTTGGAGAATATCTTTTTATTCACTCGAGAGGGGAACTGAATTCAGGAAACTGATTTTCTTCCCTCCAAATTCTGGTAATTAAATATTTAAGGGTGAATGTACTAAAGAAGTCGTTTTCACTCGAACAAAACTAGATTTAATTCATAGCCTTAGAGAAGTGATCAAAACTTAGCCTTAGAACTTTAATGTTAATCGATAAACAATATCGAAGATACTAAAGAACCCCATCTATTGTCGTCACTCATCAGTTTGCATTGAACAAAACTTAGCCTTAGAGAAGTGATCAAGATACTAGCCTTAAAGAATAGATGCTTACTCTATTTACTTTGCTTAAAAATTCTCCAGTTGATTTACAAAGTATTAACATTTAATTCATAATGTTTTTCTTAGTTTTCATCTGGATGAAACACTGAAATTGTCAAAGCATTTTCCCCCAGTACTGCGATACAGGGAAGAATGAAAGTGCTTTGACATTATTTTGCCTTCCACTCTATTGATGGCATGATACTGAACGGTCATGAAACTCTGCAAAAATTGTTTGGACTGTTTTTTTCTTTTGAATGCTTACTGTGAAAAGTGCTTCCCACTTCTTTTGCTTTTAATTCAACAATCCTCACTGATCCAGAGAACAATTCTCAAAGTTAATTCAACCAAACCAAAGCATAAGCTATCTACTAGTATTATACAATTTTCACACGTACGGCCCCAGTGTGTAAAGACAAGATCAAATATTTATTATACACAGAGTGCTAGTTGTCAAGACTTGTGCACGTCACCCTATGATCTCCAAGCCAATTGGCAGTATTATGAATGAAGGCCTCAACAAGAAATATTCTGAAAATTGAACATTAAAATACAAGCAGAGGCAGAGAGTGAGAGAGGGGGAACCGAGTAGTAAGAATAATACAAATCATTTATTCTTCCTTTGACCAAATGTGTCTTCAACACCATTTGTAACTCTTTCTCTGCGCTCAGCAATCATCTCTGAATATGCCTGCAGGCAACAAACAAGAAATATTATATGGATTCTGCTGACAAATACTTTAAATGCATGTGAAAATTACACTCAACTCAGCTGAGATTTAACCCAATTATTAATGTACTTCCACATCTTGGATGTGATTTTTCACATCTCAACTGTAATTTCAAAAAGCTAATACTAATAACTTTCAAAAGGTATTTCATACTTCTCATCGAATGTTTAGACATGTTATATACTTGACACCCTTATTTTAAAAGCCAAACTCACTTCAAATATTAAATACTTTCTTTTCTAATTAATACTTTTTACTTTCACTATTGCAGCACTAGTTATCACTTGTCTGTCGTAAGTATATTTACAAGCAAACCGTCACTTTCGTTTCAGAAATTAGCGAGTTTGTTGAATTAATAAGTATTGTAACATTAGTTCTTAAAACTAAGAAATAAATAAAATATAGAAAAACAAGTCTCTAAAATATCAAACAAATAAATTTAACTACTTCCTATCATTTTAGTTCTTAAAAATATATCATTATTATCACTTCCATCACATTTTCTTTTTATTATTTTGGACTAACGTGATTTTTATCTTGCACTTTCACTACTGTTGGATTCTAGACAAAAATGACAGTGTATTCCAAATTAATTGACAAAAGTGACCGATATTAAGATCAATTATTTTGCTTATTTTCCAATTTTCTGCTGTGTTTTAACTGAATGTAAGCACATCAAAACCTACTCTCAAATGCAATCACTAATACCATGAAGAACATGGGCGATATGAGGGTAACCCATCTGATATCATTCTCCCTTATTTCGAGAAACAATGGAGTATTGAATGTCCACAACCACAAGCTCAGAGACTTAAACACAAACCGGCATTCCTACCACTACTATTGCGCATAGAGCTTTTATGATTGCATTATAAAGAGCAACGAAGATGTAAAAGAGAGAATAGATGATGGCGAACCTTGGGATAAGAATAGAGGAAGATGTACCACCATGCACATATTAGTGAGGATACGAGTGAGGTAACTAGGACAGAATGCAAAATTAACCAGCTAATGGCAATAACTGATACCCCCGTGAGCGCTATTGTCCAGGGTTGACACCTAAACAAAACATGAGGAAGAACAACCAAGGTAGTAAAAATTGTGTTTTCAAAACTCGAATAGTGATGTAGAATTAGAATAACTGATTGGAGAGGGGATTACCAAGAGGGTTTGGTGTCCCAGACAGAGTCGTATTCGAGGGAGAGGTGATTGAGGTAGCCCTCCATATCATTGACGACGCCATTTTCGTCGAAGAAGGGAGGGTCTTTGGAGTCGCTGGGGTTGACGCCAAAGACTACGGTTTTGTTGGGGAACGTTGTGGAGGAATTGAAGGAAGAAGGAAAACGGTGGTGCAAATGCAAATGGGTTTTGGTGGGAACTCGATGATGGGAGACTGGAAACGGCCACATCGACGCGAGCACTGCCCTCATTTTAAGTCACTACACTACTGACTACAGTTAGTTACTATCTGCAAAGGATGGAAACTGAATTTGTGATTTTTTATTCAAATTTTCTATTATCCGATGTCGAAGTCCTCGCCACGTGTAGCTCCAAGAGTAAGTGGGGCATGTCAAGGATGAAGCAAAGTAGTTGAAGGAGAAAATGACAGAGAGAAAGTTTGAATTGGAGATCTTACTTAAGAATACTTTTAAGATAATAGAGAGACAATTATTAAATTATCAGATGTGTAATTTAATTCGAGAAAAAAATATGACATTATGTAATGTAATAACATTAGTAAGAGTACTCATTATTTAAATTAATTGTTATTTAAAATTGTCGTTGTCTAAAACTGTACGTATTATTTTCTCTACATATAAAATATCTAAGAGGCATTTCTTAATTTTTCTCATTTACTTTTTAAATTATCTCAATTTTAACTCTAAATGGACTCCAACAAATTAAAATATGAAGAATTTTTTAATTGGAAACTCTTGGGATATTTTATAAATGAGGACCATGAAGGATAGTGCATTAGATTGATCATGGACTCCAATAACTCCACTGCGTGTAGACAGAAAAGATCACACAGAACGAAGTCATGTATTGATTGCTTAATTACTATTTTTCTAGTAATCCAGCATACACAAAGGAACAATACTGACAGATTTCAAATGGGAAAGCATATGTTTCCTTCCATTGTACAAGCTCGTGGTAATCATGAGTAGTATTTTTTCTTCCAAACGCAAATACAACTGGAAAAATGCGCCTTTCACCGTTGCAGGAATGCATGCATCGTTGTTATTTGTATATTTGCATGTTAATCACTTGCAAAAACATCGTAATGAAAAGCTCGAAGCAATTCCAATAATTGGTACAGGACAGACTTTAACCACCCGGTTTTGGCAATGCGAAGAATTGGGAATGCATAAGAACAGAGAACAGTTTCATTAGTATATACAGTAAAGTTTTATGCCCACCCGCAATGTACAGCTCAACAGGAACTTCAAGTCATTTTGTCAAGCTTAGGAGCAAGCAGGTAAGAATATTACATCAATTCCATAATTGTGTATTACACCTACAAGAAATGATGCAATAAATGCGAGTTACATTTTTTCAAGGATGTCACCTCTCACGAATAGGAATTTGTTTGATCAACAGGTCATGTTCATTCATCATGGAATGATCCATAACCAGCCCATCTCCTATACTAATAGAAAGTAAACAAAAAACTGTTTACTTAATTTTATTTGCGAATTAGCTAAACAGGGTACAAAATACATAATTGAAGACCTCTTCCACATTAGAACTAAAAATAAATTCCAGCGCTACATGGATTGATGCCGAGGAAAAATAACCTCTTTTTTTGGGGGAGCCAGCGGGTTGGTGCAGCAGTATAATTACATTTCTGAAAATATGGGAACAAAGGCCAACTTTAAAGTTGCAATCGATCTCCAATTGTCCTCCAGAATGAAATTCCTCAATGAACAGCTTCAATAGAGAGAAGGACAAAACGAAAGTTGAAAAATCCAGGGTCCATAGTTGACATCCATCCTGCCTCATCGTTCTTCCCCTGCCGCTCCCCTAGTCCATAAATTCAAAACGAAACGAACAAATATTAGGAAACACCAAGAGGCGAACAAAGCTAATGACATGAAATGGGTCCAACAAACATTGAATTTTGAAGGAAAACAGACAGCAGGCACTAACTTCGAAGAATAAAAACATCCCTTTTTGTGGACAGACGACAGTATTAGTATTTCTGATTGGGATATGGGGATACTAGACAAAACTTGTCACGTGCCAAGCATGACAATCACCAAACTGTGATAAACATACAAAAAATCTGAAAATAATTTATACAACAATTTTTTTTTGTATTTTATGATATAATAAATTCTTTGTTTTTCAAGAAATACTTTATACTTTTGTTTTCTTCGCCAATGCCCTCAAGGCACCTGTTACCATTTGCTTGTATATTAGATACCCCCAAAAAAACAAGAACAAGAACAAGACACACACATGTGCACACAGAGACAGAGAGAGAGAGTGTGTGTACCAAGTTCACTTGATTGTTATCCTTCTCAATTGATGCCTCACAACGAGGATTCCCTATAGGGGCAGAAAGTCAATCTCATCTGAGCTTTCCTCATATATCACGTAGTTGGCATCTTGACCATCCTCATTGCCACTTCCTTGATCACTATTGTAGCTGCTTTCAGATGTACTCAAAAAAATTGATCCATCTGACGTGTGGCTGCTCAATTGTGATGGCAGACTTATCTCACTATTCATATCAGCGTCGAAGCTCTCAATGTAACTGTGATACAATCCAGAAACACAAAAATTTAGTGACTTTTAGAATGAATAAAAAAGAAATTCATTGCACCAAAAATCCAAAATAATCCAACTGAACATCATCCAACCTTCCTTCTGCTGATGGATATTCAGCCACCAGACACATATCAGGCCTTGTTTCCAAAACCTGTTTTACAGGCATAATACTGGAACACAGAGTTCCAAATTTGTAAGTAAATAATAAATAAAAAAAATAAAATCAAAGTAACACATCAATATATGATAATCATTACCTAGAGTTGTAGCACCTGTGATACCAGTCAGACTCGGATGCTAAGCCTTCCCTATTGGATATGTCCTGTTTAAAGGTAAGAGTGACAACAAGAATCAAAATTGAGAGTCTAGAAGAAACATCACTGTTTAGCAAGGTAACATATATTTCTATATACCCACAAGATGTACAAGCAATTTGAAATCTCCAGCAAGAATTGCAGTCAACAGCCTAGCGACTTCCATCTGCAAACAGTATTAGCGTTTAAGAGGCAATTGGATAGAAAAAAGGAAACAACTAGAAATATATTACAGATAGTACCTCTTTGAGATGCATGCAATCCCTTAAAATTAAGACCTCGAGTAAATTCCCACCATTGCAGCTTCCAAGGTTTCTGAAAAATAAAGGTTTTAGTTTTTCGAAACAACAATTTCAGCAGATGGACAGAATCTGACAGGCTTTGCAAAGCCTGGTTAGAAACAACTGACCTTAAGAAGTTACCAGTGATTGAATAGGATGTTGAAAAGTCAACATATTTTAGTTTCCTAAATCCCTGCACATGTAGTTAGGAATTAATAAGAGAAGAAGGTGTTTTTCTTTTACTGCAATGAAAAGGAAAATTAGGAGAATGCCATCAAATTTAAATTTAATCAAATCAACTTCAAAAACAACATGGTAGCATCATATCACACGTCAATGGAACATCAAGTCTCCTCACTTTTCCCTGAAGGCATCAAAATGGACACTGATATGTACATGACATTGCAAACTTATTATTCGGAAAATTAAATTTGCCCACCAGTTTTTGATAATTGTATTATTATAAAACATCCACACAGACTTAACACTCCATGTTAACAGGTAAGTTGCAAGCTACAAAAGTTCACCAAAGTGCCTCCAACTCAAGCTCAAGATAGTTTTTGGGTGTAATGTCTGTGTGTGCTTGTGTGTTTATGAGTACAACAACTGAAGTAAAATACAGAAATTCAACACTACATATTGAGGGAAACATGTATCTTTTAATGAATAAAATTAATAAAAGATAACCAAAAGCTCCTATAAGTGCACAATGCAAAATAAGTTGGGAAGTAGTTGAAACATAGTACATTGAAAATTGATACTTTTTTGAAAACATACCTTAACCAGTACGCGAACTTTACAATCGTGTAGCTTAAACCCTCTAAGGGATAAAGAAGTAAGATGAGGACAACTGCTTACTAGCTCAAAACACGTTTGTGCTTTCAAGCTGTCGTCTCTACCTGATAACCAAAAAGGGATAACTAGAGATATCAAAAACCCTAAAATGTAAAATATAGCTGAGAAAGTGAGTTACCTGTTTTAGAAGACTCAAAAAACAAACGCTCTATCAAGTGGCAGTTTGCACTCACTGACATTAACGTTTGCCTCAGCTCAACATGGCTAGCAGTTCAGAGAGAGAGAGAGAGAAAAAAATAAAAAAGAAAAAGAAACATCAACAAATAAAATTTAAAAATAACCTTCTCTTCAAAAGAACTGAATTAGTGGAAAATATGTGAAGACAGATACAGATACACATTAAATGCTAATCACTTGTTCACATCAGTGTTTAAAAGAAAGACATATTGCAATAAAACCAATCATGTTCATAGTCACAACTTACAGCAGAAAACATTCCCGGCCTAACTATTGAAGATGGAATTTAAAATAATGTATATTCCAGATCATAAGGAATTAAACTGATCTGAGTTCCATTTTTTCATGTTTAAGGACTTTTAAAGGTTCAGGGGATTTTAGGGAGTCATGGGGTACTACAGAAGATTGATGAGGAATTATGGGGAAAATAGCAAATCCCTTTACAGAATAATTGGAGAAAAAAAAAAGAGGATAATTTTCTTTGGTCTCAAGAGGCACAACAGGCCTTTGAAACTTTACAATCAGCCAGGACTTCCTTGTCAGTGCTTGCCATGTCGGATTTCTCAAAGACTTGGTGTGTTTGGATTTCAGTTTGATCCAACCATACCCACGTTCAGCCCAATCCAACACTCATTACTTCTCCATTTGAGCATTGGAAAGTACAAAAATGTTGTTCAGCTCCATTCAAATGGATTTCCAAACACACCAATAATGGTGGAAACGGATGCACCCAGCAAGCAAGGAGATAAAAGTACTGCAGCAAGAAAGCTCACTGAAGTCAGTTCATGAAAAATTGATAGGTATAGTGATAGCAATTGGCAGTCCAGAAGTGGCAACATTATCTCATGGGCGGGGAATTCATCATCCTTACTCATCGTCAAAGGAGTTTAAAACTCCCAACTGAACAGAGATTAATGAGTGAAGACCATCACAAATGGACCTCTAAACTCCTAGGCTTTGAAGAAGTTCAGACTAATCCCAAATTACAGCAGTTCATAAAAGATCTGATTGCACAACCCCAGGTTCATCCAGGTTATGCATTGAAGATGCCAGGTTATTTTACAAGGACAGATAGTTATTCCAAGGACTACTGCTAGAATTCATTTGCTGCTGTCAGAATTCACAAATCAGCTATGGGAGAACAAGGTTTGTACAGAAAGCATGACATGTATGAGAATATAGGGGGTGGTTTATCGGGAAGGAACAAAGAAGGATGTCCAGCAGGCAGCAGTTTATATCTGGTTTCATGGTTGCTAAAATCAAGAGACAACTCGTAAAATCGCACAAGCTTACGTGCCTGCATTTGCAAAGCTTTTTAACTTGTAAGAAAACTCGTTTTCAAGTAAGCTTGAGCAAACTAGCAGACTCATCCAAACTTGTTTGTGAAGAAGCTTGCAGGTTCAATTTGGCAGAAAAAAAATTGTCCAAAACAATGCATGGGTGTTTTGAGTCCTATTTTCTCATAAGAGAGCTAGGGATTCTCTTCTGTTCTTTCGCAATCAAACTCCCGATTTTTTCTTGCTTGTCTGTTTTCTCTCAGGATCAAAATTCTCTTCTGTTCCCCTCCATCATCTTGCTCACATTCTACTGTTTATTTTTTTCCTTTTCACTTCCTCACGCTCTCTTATCATGTTGGGAATATACACTGATTTGGGACACCAAATAATTGTATACTCGTGTTATTGTACTTGTAATACACTGATTTCTGATTTTATTTGTTATTGTTAATATTTGTTATTTTATTAACAAATATCAGAGACAATATTTTAGTTTTTAAATGCCATCATTTTAAGAACTTATCTTTTGGATGAATTTATGCATGATTTGGTATAGTTTGATTTTATTTAAATCCTGTACTACCAAAATTTGCATTGTAGTTTACGACATGAGATTGAAATGTTGAATTATTATGTAATTTATAGGTATTTTAATATTTCAATATTAAGTAGACTCACTAGTTTACAAGTTGAGTTTACAAAGCCTTCACGAAATTACGTAAACTCTCAAGTTTGATAACCTTGGATAGAATGTGAAGTACATCAGAGGAATAAGCATCAAAATCTGTACCCCACTGCTCTCCTGCAGCCGTTGCCTATTCTGACCCAAATGTGGAGTGACATATCCACGGATTTCATCAATGGTCTATCCAAGGAGATAGACAAGGAGATTGCCTATTTTTGGCTTTAGCTCATCCTTTCACAGCCAAGGAGATAGCCCTTGTATTATATCTGAAAAAGTAAAGCATCACGTGTTCCCTACTTCCAGTATATCAAACGGATCAAATCATGCTCAGATATTTCTAGTCAAAGTAATTCAAGCGAGTGGGAGCTAAACTCAATTACAGCTCTGCTTAGCCTCCACAATGGATGGGCAAGCTAAGGTGGTAAATATATGTTTGGATATTGAAGGTGTTTAACAAGGTGTAAGCAGTGGCCACAATAATTTTTTAGTTGAGCTGAACGTTTGTTCAACCCCTTTAGAGCCTTGTATGGAAGGTACCCTACCTTTTTAGAGGGAATACATTTCCCTTAAACATGGACGGATGAACCAGTTCTCTAGTCTCTACTACAAGGGACTCTTAATTTTGGATGAGTTAAATCATATTTTAACACCAAGCTTTGCAGAGCATAATGCTTCAAGCTGATAAGTAGAGAAGGGATTTGCAAGTAGGAGATCAGGTGTATCAGAAAGCTTGCCCCTATAGGTTTTGATCCTTGGCCCAGCAAAGCAATGAGAAACTATGTACAAGATTCAATGAGCCCTATCAAGCAATCCGAGGATATGGGGTGATTACTTATATGCTGAATTTAACTGCCACAAGCAGAGCACATCTTGTATTGCATGTCATTTGGTTGAAGAAGGCTGTATCAGACTCTTACATTCCTCTACCCTCTGACGAAGTACTGACAAACAGACGATTGGGAATTGCAGACACAGCCCCTAGGATTTTTTGGATTTTGAACACACTGCTCATGTGGATAATGAGATGCTATAAAAATGACATGACTTACATCCGAGAATTCTTCTTAGTGCATATCACTGTATGCCTCTGGATCACTTCAGGGTTCTACTGAAAATATGTCAGACTCGCTTTTTATCATTTTTTTTGTTTTATTCCTGGTCAAGTTCAACCAGATATCCCAGCCTAAGTGTGGGAAATGGAAATTTGAAATAGTGTATACTCCAGATCATAAGAAAGAGCACACATATCATAGAAAAAGAGCACACATATCATAGAAAAAGAGCACACATATCATAGAAAAAGAGTTCCATTTACTTCATGCTTATCACACTTTTAACCAATGATATTCTCATATTCATAATCCACTAGCAATGAGAAAAGGCATATAATGAAAAAAAGCGGAAGAACAAAAGTTGAAGGAAATGAACTTACAGCCCAACAATTTCCAAATCAAGGAGAGAAGGGCATGCTGACAATGCCACACTAAGGGATGCATTATCCATTCTCTCGATGTTGTACAAGTGCAACTTTCTCAAAAGAGCCCTACAAAAACAAAATGTACGAACTCATTTAAAACAAGTCATCTCACTGAATACTGAAGTCCATGAAAACATACCCGGGGGCACCACCATCCCCACTTAAAGGGCTCAAACAGCATCTTGTGAGAATGGATGACTCTCTCCCTTGTCGAGATCTCTTATCATTCCATGAAAAGTTAGATACTTCTACAATAGAATGTCTGATGGTACAAACAAATGGCGGACAAGATCCAAGTGTAGTAGCGCCAGGGACAACACCCAGCTTAAGAGACCTTATTAAAAGAATTAAAACAAATTCATTTGAGAATATAATTAGGCAAAAAAATATATCAAAATTTTAATGATTGAAAGAGCTAACAAAGTTTGCATGGTAATAGACGCTTAAAATAATGAAACTAGTTCCACAAATTTTAATAGGAGGACATAAATGACAAGAATCACTAATGAAATGTAAGCACCATTGCACCAAAGCAAACCATCCAAACAAATAATCAATATGCTAAATACCGCCCCACCCCTTTTTGCCAGTTATCACTATCAGCATGAGCAAAGGCCAATTACAATAAGGAAATGATCAGCTCAGTAGGTGATTCATTTTGTACTACCACAAATTATACACCAAAACCACCAGCTGTGCAGTTAATCAATGTTCACTTGGGAACAAACAAAAAACATAGCATGTAAAGGACATTTTATACCTTAGTGCCTTTCCAGCACGCTGAATCATCGTTGCAACAACTGCATTGTTAACCTTCGGAACAAGGGTTGTCAAATCAAGATTTGCATAGCACAGAGGATCTTTAGCACATTTGCTAAAAAGTGAACAAGTAGCTGACGCATAGCAGAGGCTCTGGGTATCAAGCATTGAGAAGACCTGTACATTACAGACTCAGAATCAGTACCCAGAGAGCTCACTGATCACTTCCATGCAGAAGCACGTTTAAAACCTACGGTAGTTTCCGATGAAATAAGTAACGGAAATTTTATTTTTTCTTCAAAAGTACTATAAAGCACCGCCAAACAAGTCCAACAATCGCTAGTGTAAAATGAAACCATAGGCTCCTGTTGCATGTTCCCCCACAAGTATTTCATCTATGCAGCATCCACATACTCAAAAAAAAAAAAAAAACTCGGATCCAGTTATATTCAATACAAAACATTTCAAAGACGTAATACAAAAAAGGGGGGAAATAAACGAAATCCACCGACTCAGTTAATCAGCTTAGCGAGACGAATCGCAAAAGCACGAATCTACAGAAAGGGAAACAGAGGAACAGTACTACCCTACATTGATAAAAAATTAACAAAAAAATCGAACTGATAAAAGACAGTTATAGTAAGGTTGCATTAAAAAATTGAAGGACCTTGATGGTGAGGTCGGGAGGGAGAGGCCAGGCGAGGGAATTGTGGTTGGAAGCGCGTTTTCTGGAGGAGTGTTTGGCGGCGTCGAGGAGGAGAGAGCCCATTTTGAGGGCGCGATCGATGAGGTCGGAGTCGGGGGGAAGTGAGTGGAGAAGCCTCTCGAAGGAGAGATCGAGGGAGAGAGAAGGGAGGTCGGAGAGGGAGAGAAAGGCGTCGAGAAGACGCTCCACATCGTTCAGGTTATCGACTCTAGGGTTTTGCGAGGGACAGGGACGCTTCGCCATTGAGGTTGCTGACGATGCACTGTGGAGGACTAGCGAATCCATAGCGTAGCAGTAGCAGTAGGTTTGGTTTCTTCACATTCACACGACCCTCACCCTCTCTCATTATGTGCCTCTGTTATGTACCGCATATAGATCCTATGCGTTTCAGTGCCGGTGCTTCTCGCCTTAGCGCCACGTGGACCATCACATGGCTCACGTCCTTCCATCTGTACTCCCGCTGCTAAACATATATTTTTTAATTCTTTTTTTCTTATGCCAACGCTCTTTCTTATTTACCCTCCTCCTGCAACATGACACATACACGAGTCACGCCCAATCAAAATATATTCTTAGCTCCTAATCCAACTTTGACAGGTGGACATTATACAAAGTGAATGTTATTTTTAATTTGATTATCATTACGTCTACAATCTTCGGCGCTTCCTGACAGCTGTTTAAAGAAACACACTCCTTAACAAATTATACAAACGCCAAATTTCTCCCTTTTTCTTACGTTTACACTCAACAAACAATTGGATGCACCAAAAGTAATGATCAAAATCCACTTTCTGTTCTAATATAACATTTATTTATAATTTAGTCTTTATTAGTTTATTAAAAAACAAATAACTATCAAAACAAATAAACTAATCTTTTCAGACAAAGCAAAAACATTAATTAACAAGATGCAGGGTGCAATGCAAGGCCCGGAAACGCTACCCAGGGGAAGACGCCCCACCGTGGCAGCATAAAAACAACGATGGGAAGGCGCTGATAAAAATAAATAAATAAACTAACATGACGAACAACTTGAACAGAACCAAGGGGCAAGCTGCAATTCCTTTTCTACAATCTGAGCACTCTAAGAAACAGAAACAGATTGTATCTAGCAATTGAACATAAATAGTGTACATTATATGATGATGTCATTTCAGCAAACATGAATGACTAGCTGTCTCTTGGAGGAGGCATTATCCTAAGCCTCTCCTCAGATGCCTGATTAGTCCCACTAAATCTCTCTTCTGCGAGAAGTGACTGCAAATCACTGCCATTTGCCAAACTATTAAACTCGACGGCTTTAGACGGCAATGTCGGATAACGCCGTTGGCAAAATGTCATTAATCTCTTCACAGATTGCAAGTACTTGCGAGTGGTCTCATCATTCATGATGTGAGCAACACTGTTGGTGTAGATCTTTTCACGGGCAGATCTTTCGTGAATACCAACCATAGTGACACCAATAGGCCAGGGTGCATTCCCTATGGCCAGCTTGATATAATGATCCATTGCAGCTAGATAATCTCGCTTCATACAGCACTCAACCACTATCATCAGCGCCTGTCGAATGTCGTCGGGAAGAACCTGAAAATAGCACATAACACGTGCATTGCGTTGTTAAATGATATGCTAAATATTCAATGGATACAACTATGTTCAGTAAATTCTATGATTCTCTTGTTGATGCGGAGAACCAATAGAGAAAATTAATCACCTCCTTGAAAGGACGCAGAAAGAAGCATTGGAAAGTGGAAGCCCTATACTATAAAATAAATGCAAATAAAACACTGAAGTGATATTAACTTAACTGTATATATGTGCTAATAAAACCTAAAGCACTAATCTTATCTATACTAATAATCTAATCATAACTAAAGCAGGAAACAAACTATAAAATATTAGAAGCTTGGAAATTTTAAGAAAACAGAGAAACTAATCATAAGAGAGAATTCCTAAGATATAATATTGATATTACGATAAATTCTGGCACTCCACCTAAAGTTAAAGTGTAACAAAATTTTATGCTCGTTACAAATAAAACACTTTAAATTATAATATGGGCACCACACACAAGTTTGAGGAAATCAATAGTCAAGTTTTGCTGAGATATTCTCAACTAATGCTGTGAACTCTTATTTCCTTTCCTGTTTTGCCTAACATACACCTTTAAACTAATGGCCGACTATCAGTCTCACACACTTGACCAGCTATTATGTTCATAATGACGATTGAACAGTGAAAAAAATCCCACAATGAAGGCTTGATTTTATAGTTTTATTCATAATGAGACCCTCTGGTGTGTATGAGATGTGGGGTATTCTGAGTGCAATGTACATAGCCTGGGATAAAGAGATCACCAAACTTTGGATTGAGAATGATTCCTCCTTTGTCATTCATTCAGTTGCCCATGATTGTGTTCCCTCACAATCACACCCTGCACACCATTGATCAGCTCCATTTCTCAAATGATGATATAGTGCTGGGAGATTTGTGTCCCCCAAGGAATCTGTAAAGATAATACAGTTGCAGAATGGTTGGCTGGTTATTCTAATTCAGAATCCATGGGGCTGCATTTGTTGGATACTCTTAATGCTTACAGGGAGCTCTTACTGCATGATCTTGTTGGGGGTTTTGTTCCTTCATTATATCTTAGTCTAATTTTCTGCCCCTCCAGCTAACCAAAAATCTAAGATTCTCATGTAGTAATGTAGTATTACTTCCCCAACAACTTATCATGTTTAGACTCTGATTGAGCATCTTCCTATAGAATGACTGAGTTTAAGCATAAAATCATCTTTTTACTAAGAAAGTAGAAACTAACCATAATATGATCAAGCTAAAGGGTTTAGCTAAAACTATGGCCCTTAGAATTTCTCAACACAAGATGACTGATAGAAGAGGAAGGTGTGGTATGGGATAACCAACCAGTAATGTTCTGGTCATCAAATTTTGTGCACCAACTTCATGAACTACACCTACACAAATAATGCATACCTTACCGGTCCAAATTTAGTGTTTTCAACAATGACAAGAATCTTTATCCCATTAGAAAAGTTGGCTACATCAATCAATCAAGCCCATTAGGCTCCATGTTGGTGCATGTTCGGATCAGCTTATTTTACGGGCAAATATGCTTTTTCTTGAGAGGGTGGGCAGTATCTTACACTCCTACCATCGGAAAAAACTTAATTGAAATATAATACCACATCATCGCCAACACCTATGTCCCATACATCTAGTTCTCCGAAGATACAATGACAACAGCTTACTTTTCCATCTCCCTTGATTCAAATTTCTTTAGACTCCAGAACGTTCAAATTCATTAGAAGCTATTCCACCAACCACTTACCAGTTAACAATAACATCCAATCACATATTTCCGTGATTAAACAAAGACCAATCCACAATGCCAGACAAAATTCAAAGGAAAAGGAAAATTATTCACCTTCTTCCTACAAAACTTGAACAGCGGGTTCAAGTAACGCGCGCACTGCTTGAACGTGGCGACCATGGACTTCCCCTTAGCCGTGCGCTTCTCCGCCTCAGCCATCTCGTGCAACTCCTGCTTCCACTCATTCAACAGCCTCTTGAAAAACACCAAAATCTTATCCTCATCGCAGAGCTCCTCGAAATTCGCCTTCATCCGCTTCAAGTCCTTGTCGGCGTCGGCGCCGCTGGACCCGCCGCCCTCGCTGAGATCGTCGTCGGCGCCTCCTCCCTCGCGGTCCTCGGCAGCGCCGTCGTCGTTCTTCTGGCGCTTCCTCTCGCCCATGAGCCCCGTCTTCTGGCGCTTCCGGAGCTCCGCGATGTCGCGCAGAAAGTCGTTGGTCTGCCCCTCCGTCATGTCGCTGTCGACCTCGAACTCGCCGGCCTTGAGCACGTGCTTCAGACGCTCCAGCCGCGCGTCATCGTCCTCGCCGAAGAGCGTTACCGGCTGCTTCAGGAAGCGCAAGCGGCGCACGACCTCGGGCTTCGGGAGGACGAGGTTGTCGATGTTCTGCTCGTCGGTGAGGGAGGCCGTGGCGGCGGCCACGGCGGAGGAGGCGGACGCTGAAGCGGAGGAAGCCGAGGTGGCGGAGGCTGCGGCGGCGTCGGAGGACGTGGCGAGGCGCTTTTGGGACTTGGCTTCCAACTCGCGCTTCTCTTGCTCGCGGAGCTTTTGGATCTCCTTCTGCTGGATTTCGGAGCGCTTGAAGAATCTCTTGCCGCCGGTGTCTTGGGCTAGAGATTGGCGCTTCTTGAGAAGCTCTTGCTTCAGAAGGTCCATCTAGGGTTTGCGATGGCGCTGCGGGAGTGGGTTGGGTGATTCGATCGGAATTCTGAAATTAGGTATGTTAAACTGCACGGGAATAAGAGTAATCAGGTGTAAGCAAGAACTTGAATCGAACGACTGCGTTTTGTGTATTTAGATAGTTCTTAATCATGTATTTTAATGATTTAATCACATTTTTTGTCCCTATAATTTTATAATTACTACCTTAAAAAGATATTTTGTGCTTTCAATTAAGTAAATATTAAAAATAATCAATATTATATTAATATATATATATATAATTTATTTTATTTTTTCCCCGTTCTAACCCAGTGAACGCAGACGTACTAGACCATACCTGATCTGCAGCCGGTAGCGAGCGAGGGTTTCCGGAGATGACGACGATACGCAGATTTTGCTGCAACGATCTCCTTCGCTTCACCTCCGTCAATCTCGACCATCTCACCGAAACTGTAAGCGGTTTTTGGTCCCTTTCCATTCGATGCTGAATCCAATGGCTCTTTTGCTTAATTGCTTCTTCCTTTCAGTTTAACATGTCCTTCTACATGACCTATCTTGCAAGATGGCCCGATTATTTCCACGTCGCCGAAGGCCCTGGTAACCGAATCATGGGTTACAGTGAGTAGTTGCACTTTTCTCATATTTGTTTTCCTCCTTTCCCTAGTAAAATGATTTATCTCTATGCTTGATTGGATGGATGCCAATGCTACGTAGGTTAATTTCATTTTCAAAAGGAAAATTCATGTAAAATAGAAGTAAGATTAAGGAATGAATGTTGCTTTCAGTAGCTCATCAGCTTGTAGCAGGAATTGGTGGTTTAAACTCTAGTACAGGTTTCAGGAATGATACAGTGCACTTCATACTTGGGGAGTTGATATAGAACATGATGATGACAATTTTGATGCCTTTTGCGTATGCCAATGCTATCATTGCTATGCAGCTTATGTTTTTCTTTTGCAAGTTTATATGATGTACCTAATTGTGGATTAAGTCTTTGTTTAATCATCACCTTCACTGTGAAGACAGTGGGATATTGACGCAAATATTATTTATGTAGTTATGGGTAAAGTAGAGGGGCAAGGAGAATCTTGGCATGGCCATGTGACTGCAGTGACCGTCGCTCCAGAGTATCGCAGGCAGCAGTTAGCTAAGAAGCTTATGAATCTGTTGGAAGACATCAGTGACAACATGTAAGAGATGTATAAGTTTGATTTCTTTTAATTTTCCAATTTCTAAAGCGTTTCCTGTCCTCTTTACATAGTCTTATTTGAATTTTCTTTTCCTGGGGGCTTTCTGGCGAATCATGTATTGTGTACTATATGAAAATCATGATATGTGATATTTCTTTTGTTGGAATCTGCAAGAAATCTTTTGGAAATAGATGCATTTAAAGATTAGGTTCATGTACTTAGGGAGTTGCACTTGTATTTCTTTTTCTAGTAAATATAATATCTAGTTAATTCAGAAGTATGTGTGTGTCTATATATATACTTATCTAGTTTGCTGACTGCTAATGACTTGAGCATTCCACAAGTTTTATATAGCGGCTTATGGCAGATGCCTTGGCAGACAAAAATAATATATATATATATATATATATATATATATATATTAAAAACAAAAATTAAAAACAGGCTTTTAGGATACATGACTTTAATGTAGGGTGCTTACTGCTTAACATTGTGCTACAAGTGAAGAAGAGTTGGGAACAACATTATAGGTTTAATAAGGAGGCAGAGAACAACATAACAGAGAACTAAATTCCAAAATTTTGGAAAAACATTGAACAGATGAAGAACAAGATCAGTCACACAGAGAATAAGAAGAGAGAAAATGAGATGAGGAACATCTGAAGAAATGAAGAAAAGATGGAAAACAAACAGAGATAAAGAAAGAAATGGAAGGAAGAAGAAAAACCAAACAGGAAAAAAAGAACTCTTATGGTTTGCCAGATTTTTTTCGTGAAAAGGTTTCTGGAGTTCATGTTACCAATGAGGGTGGTGGCCTGAGAAGGTCGCTGGAGTTGTTTGGTCGAAACTTAGGAGCTTCACAAAAGAGAAGACAAGAGTAGAAAAAAAATGAGAAGTTCTGCCTTGAGTGCCACGAAGCCATGGCCTTGGCAGATATGACAGACAGTGCTCTATAATGGGAAATAACGGATAGCAAATGGTAGAGGGGCTAAAAAACAGCACATTATACCTTTATGGTGGCACCATAATGGTTATTTGATAACATTAGGAGAGGGGGCATTGGAAACTGCAAGAAATCTATTAGACTAGCTGCATTTAAAGCTTAGGTTCATTTTTTTTTATTCATGTATAGTGCTTTAACACATGTACTTAGAAAATTGCACTTGTATTTATTCCTATTGTGAATATATTATGTAATGAATTCAGAAGTATCTATCCACCTATATATCAAACCTGCTTAGTGCTAAAATCTCAACTTCTCTAATCATTTTGACTTTCTTTTGTCCATTACATCAGTAGTTTTTGTTGAAAAGTTATTTCTATTTGCATATTTTATAAAGGATTAAATGGAGCAGTAGGTTAATGGCTTTATGTTTGTGTGGATGCCTTGCCTTGTGCAGTGACAAGGCTTACTTTGTTGATCTCTTTGTGAGGGCATCAAATGCACCAGCCATCAAGATGTATGAAAAGGTAATGGTTCTGTATTTTTCATTTCATATATAACTTCCCTTGCTTTCTTATGGATTAAGGAGATCTCACTTTCTGTTATTTTTCACTCTTCGTTTACTTGTTTTATGTGCTGGTAGGAGGATTCATGACCCTACTGTTCTATATTTCTCTTCCATTCAAGTAATTTTTCTTTTGACGAATAAAACAATAGATATATGGGTATAGAAAAAAGAGATATACCCTGTATAAAGTATTGCATGGTAAACTTTTATTTCAAATAATTTGACATAGGATAGATCATAGATTTAGTAACCTTTCCAATTTCTAATTTCAATACTTGGCAACATTTACACGGTCTTCTGCTGTGGGGCTTCATGTATTGTTGCCCTGTCATGTTCCCTCACACTGCTGAAAGAACTCTTAGTGGCCATTTGGTTTTTTAGGGAAAACATAAATGAAAGAATAAGAAGGAAGGAAAAAGGGGAATAATTGATATCTTCTAACTTTTGGTCTGTAAGTCATGAAGGAAACAACAACTAAAGTCTTATCCTACTAGCACTAGGTGAGGTTGACTACATGGGTTTTGTGATGTCATTGGGCTTTGGTTCATGAAGGAAAGAATTAATGGTCCTACGGCAAATTGCTTTCCTACACAATGGATGGAAACATGAAGGAAGTTGGGATCTTTTGTTGCAAAGACTAAAATGCTTCTGCTCTATGCTTGATTTTACTTTGACTTTTACTGCACATGTTTTGTTCCAGATTTCCTACTCTTGTTGCTCCTATTATGCACTTTTACCTTTTTATTTTCCTTTCAAAGTCTTGTGTGTGTGTGTGTGTAGAGAGAGAATTTCTATAATATTTTTCTTCTAAATATTACTCATAGTGATTTTTTATTTAAAAAATATTTCTTTCTATTATGATTGAATATTTATATTACATACATTAATAATAATAATAATAATAATAATAATATATACTTTTAATATTTCTATCATATTCCTTTTATAAAATAATATTTTTTCATTATATATATTTTTACCTAGAGAATATCATTATCATATCTCACTTTTATTTGGGGGTACTTCTGTCATTTCACAAACATGTTTTTTCCTTTCCTTCCATTTTCTGCACGACCAAACAAGAGGTGAAAAAGTTTAGCTTTCTTTCCTTTCATTTTCTTCCCTACCAAACAATTTAAAATTATCTCATTTTCTATTCCTTTTCTTTTCTCCTACTATGCCCCTAACCAAACAGCATTAGTTTCACCACCAGTGTGGAGTATGGAAGCTGCAGCACAGTGGAAAAGTTAAATCAATTTAACATTGATAGAAATTGGATTAGAAATGGAAGAAAAACAAAATTTCTTTATTGAGTTTACTACATAGAATTCCCCAGCTATTCAACAGATCCAGGCCTCTCCCTAGTCTAAATTCTATTTCACCTAGTGACTGACTCTTCTCAGCTTCTCTTTCTATTTGTAGTTGTAGGCAGCTACTGTTATGTGAACATAAACCCAACCTTAATGGTCTAATCAGTTGCAGGCCCATTCCTCTAATTACTAATATAACCAGTTGACCAATCAATAATCCCCCTCTAAATATTCAACTTGTCCTCGGTGAATAGCTATGGCAGATAAAAATAAAGTCCACATCATTGTTCTGGTTGTTTGAAGAATGGTGACCAAGCCAAATTAACTTAGAATTCTCCTGGATCATACACAAATATGTGAGTACCTCCATTCTTCTTTGATGAGGTGCCATTGCTCCATTCCTTATTCTTCTCTCTAATCAATTGGGTTTGATCCATAAATTTAGATTTCTTTTTTTAACACCGTGTGTTTTCTCTCATCCTTCATCCTTGACTTGAACTCCAGCATGATATCAGCCACCATATGAACACTAAAGTTAAACAGTTCCAACATTAGGAGCTTGGACAGCTTGTGTAAGAACCCAAACCCCATCACTGCTGATGCTGGTGATGGATCAACCAAATTTGGTTCTGGTTCACTGAAGGTTGCTTCTTCTCCAAAGTGATTCTTGTTTTCCACTTTCCAATGCTCATCTTTGCTTCTCCAAAGTCATTCTTATTAGAGTATAGTTAGAATGGGTGTGCAGGGAAGAATTGTTGTGAGAAGCCATGGTAGATCAATAAGCTCTGATACCATGTTAATATTCAGAGAGAAGCTAAAGAGAATGATTGAAAGAAGTTGTATATTGACTTGTCTTATTGATTCACTGAGCAAAGGTATATAAAGGAGAGATACAAGGGTTCTGTTGTAACAGAATACTCAACAGTAATGTAACAGAACCTAAACAGAAAACTAACTGAACAGAGAAATGATACAGTACAGCAGTGCTCACTGTAGGAGCCTGCACACCCATTCTAACTATAATAATTCTTGACCCAGAATGTTGAGTGGTTGTAGTTTTCTTGCTTCTACTCAGTTTCTCCTTCTTCATCATGTTTCTTTTGTTCTTCTAGATGTTGCTTCCCTACTTGTGTTTTCTGGGTTTCCCTCTCCCTCTGGGGATGCTTCCTTTTCCAAGATTTCTGCTCCTCCCAATTCTTCGTTTCTTTTCTGTATCTATTTCTGACTTCCCTTTGTCATAAGTTTCTGCCCTCTGCTCCATTGATTCATGTCTGTCCTCTTGAGTCCAAATATCTGAATCAAATTCTGGCCGGAACTCTTTGAGCAAAGCCTTCACAAATTGCCTCCATGATGCACTCGGATGGTATGCTTCCCACACATATCATCAAATGAATGCACACCCTCACATAGCCTTCCCAACCTTTGTATCTTGTCTTCCTCTGTTATGCCTATGGCCTCAATTCTGCTCCATGTTAATCAGCCACCTATAGACTACTTTTCCTTCAAATCCTAGAGTCATCTTCAAGAATTGATACCCGCAGCTCCAAGATTGGATCTCTGATACCAGTTGATAGAAGCTGGATTAGAAATGGAAGAAAAACAAAACTTCTTTATTGATTGAGTGTATCTCTACGATGAATTCCCTGAATATTCGAGAGATCCAGGGCTCTCCATAGTCTCAATTCTGTATCACCAAATGGCATACTCTTCTCAACTCCTCTTCCTGTTTATAGGCAGCTACTGTTATGCTGACATAAACTCACATTTAATGATCTAGTCAGTTGCAGGCTGATTCCACTAATTAATGATATAACTAACTCACCTATCAAATAGTTGTGGCAGTGACAGGCACAACTCTGTAAACCCCTTTTCTCCAGTGCTGCGCGAGGTGTATTTTGGGCAGTAATCTTGTGATATTGCCCCCTTTCATTCTAAGACAGACTTCAAGTTCAAAATCAAAACCCTTAGGGAGCGTTTGATAGGGAAAAGTTTTTCATACCCAAAAATCATGATTCCTGAAAATACAAATCCACTAATTAATGATATAACTAACTCACCTATCAAATAGTTGTGGCAGTGACAGGCACAACTCTGTAAACCCCTTTTCTCCAGTGCTGCGTGAGGTGTATTTCCTAGGAATATGATTTCTGGGAATAGTTAAAATTTATTTGGTTACTCATAAAGGTTTTTGGAAATATTCATACAAGATTTTCGTGTTTGGTTACAAATTACAATAGTATATTCCTACGTATATAAATACTTTTACAAAAATATCCTTTATTAAAATAAATTCGCTAGATATATTTATTTACTCAAATCTTACTACAAATATGACATTAAAGTATTTTAAAAAGTTGAAAACTTATATAGTTCAGATTATTTAAATACAGAATTCAACAAAAGAAATAAATAAAGAAAAATGCTACAAAATAATTAAGAAGGATAAAAATATATTATTTCATTTCATTCAAAATAAAAAATAAATAAAAGTGTTAAGAAATACCATTAAACTGTAGAGCAAAACAGACTTTAATAATATTATTAAAATTGACGAGATCAAGAAATAATAAAATACAAGAAAGGGAGAGAGAAATAGAGATATAGGAGAGAGAGAGGGAGGGAGAGGGAGAGAGGGGGGAAGAAAGAGAAATAGAAGGAGATAGAGAAAAAGTAAGAGAAGGGGATTGAGAGTGAGAGAGAGGGGGAGGGGGAGAAAGAGAAATAGAAGGGGAGAGAGAGAGAGAGGAGAGGGAGAGAGGAAGAGAGGGGGAGTGAGAGAGAGAGATTTTCTATTTTAAAAAAGAAAACTATGGTCTTTTTATATGCATGAAACTTTCTTAACTCAGGAAAGTTGGATTCCTACCTCCCCTCCCCCCATGAGAATATTTTTGTGGGGAAGTGGGATAAAAATAGTTCCCACCAAACTATATTCCTGGATTTTTTTTTTTAAAATAGCTATCAAACATGGGAAATCAAGATTCTCGATTTAAGATTCCTGGGAAAGTAAAAACATTTTCCATACCAAATTCCTTCTTGTTCTGTAACAGTTGCATATTGTCTTGTATCTGAAATATGACCCCTGTTCTCCAGTCTTTGCTGACATTTTCCAGCGCCATCCTGATGTTTCCAGCTGTGTTCTGTTTTCTGTTACTATCTCCAGCTCTCTTGGGTCTGCTGTTTCTGTTCTGTTTTCTCTCCCACTGTTCTATCCTTTTATTTTATTTTGTTGCAACAGATATTCTCTCCCACAGATTTTTCATGATTTCATGACTTCTGATTATTAATTATGAATGTATTTCATTTATATATATATATATATGTATGTATATGTATATGTATGTATTATGTTTTAACATTTATATATGTAGTATAAATTATTTAATTTGTCAAACATCATTAGTGATCATCCTGCTATAATGGTTTGGGGGCCAGCTGCTCTGCATTGCTATCTGGGATTCATAACTAAGTTTTCAAAATAGTGTGCAGTACAAATTTTTCAGTTTTAGGTTTCTTGTCTGCATCTGGTTGGTAACAATGAAATATAAGTGGATGATATATACAAAATCAAAAGCTTGATCCCACTAGGTGAGGTTGGCTCGTTAAATCACAAATGTCATTCAGCTTGGTTAAAGATCAAAAGTTCATAGATATTATTTCCCATGGGATCCCTTTTAACGACTTCAATATGCTTCTTGGTCTTCCTCTCCCACTTTTCATTGGACTAAATCATGTAATCTACATTCCTCAATGATGCTTCTAACTAGGTTGTCAAACTTGAGGGTTTATGTAAACTCGTGGAGGCTTCGTAAACTCAACATGTAAACTCGTTAGAGTTTACTTAATATTAAAAAAATACCTAGGAATAACATAATAACTCAACATTTCAACTCTATAATAAAGAAAAAATAGAAAACAACAATGAAGAAGCAAAGTTGTGAAATACATTTCTACTTATTAAGATCAAAATCATACTACATATTGTCTAACAAATATTTTCACTGATATTTGTTAAAAATAATAATGAATATTAACAAATAATTACTTTATAATTATTAATTAATGTATTTCTAGGTTCAGTATTAAGAAAAATATGATAAAAAAAATGATACTTTGGTTAAGATAGAAGAGGATTGGTAATATGCTATCATGTACAATATGGAAAGGGAAAAGGAAATCTAAATCTTTAACAAAGCTTCCAAAGACAAGAACCCATCCATACCACGTCGCACGAGAACTTTGGTATGGACGAGAATCCTGACATCAAGCACAGCCACAAACGCACACAACGAAATCTCGACTTGAGCATACAAAGGCCACCACGACCGCAACCGCAAGCAAAGGCACAAAGGCGAAAAGTTTCAACAAAAACAGGTTGATATCGCACTATGAAAAAGGACCCTAATCCTCTGTTTTGATGGGGAAAAAACATCCAAATGCAAAATGCACCATTCTACGGTCGTTTTGGAGCCTTTTTTCCACCCACGTAGATGCGTATAATCAAGTCTAAAATCACGATTGTGTTCAATCCTATTTGAACTTGCTTGAGTTTACGCGATTCTACTCAAAAACAAGTTTGTTTACAAGTTAAACTAGTTAGCCTTACTAAACACGTAAACTTGTGAGTTTTTATGAGTTAACGCTCGAGTTTGACAACCATGACTTCTAGTATCCTTCTATGAAGCATCGACACATCTATAGAATGGTGTATCTGACACATTTCAGACATGACACTTGTCCGTCATACCTTGACACGCATCCAACACCTTTCTGCCGTATCACAATTAAAAATATTATTTGTGTGGATCAGACATCTCTCCAAAATAGCTTTAACACCTTTTCAACACAACTTGGACACAAGTCAAGAGAGTTGACACCTACTCTTAGCTAAATACTTGTCTAACATTTCTATTATAAAAAAAATTTAAAAGTCAACAGATTAATAAATATTGCAAGGCTCATAACATTTTCTTATTCATCATGAGGCATAAACATTACTTCTTGTTTTAACTATTGACATTTGGTTCATCTTCTAAGGGTTATCATAGGTATCTTTTATTTGTATGTGACCAAACCACCTTAATCGATTTTCTGTCATCTTTTACTTAATCAGTATTTTCTCATATACAATCATTTCGTATCTTGTCCTGTTGTAGGTGGCAACATATTCATCTTAATGTTCTCATGTATGCTATTCTCATTTTTCTCGTGTTATCCTTCTAAAGTCCAACATTCACTACCATAGGTTATAGCTGAATGTATATCAACACAATAAAACTTACCTTTGGGTTTGGTAGATATTTTGCTATCACAAATAAACATTGATGCTTTTCTCCATTTTAGCCATCTAGCTTGTATTTTGTGCGTGATCTCCTCATTAATTTTCCCATAATTTGTAGCATTGATCCTAGATATTAAAATTAGAAACCTGTGATATGACATCTCCCAATTTTTTTTCCAAGTCGCATTACTCTTCTGTCTTGCTAAAATTGCATTGCATATACTGTCTTACACCTACTTAAGCAAAAAAACCCTTTTGTGTTTCTAAAGTTTATCTCTAAAGCTCAAGTTTAAAGTTAACTACTTCTCTTGATTTCTAATCAAAACTATATCATCCAAAAAAAAAAATTATGTAATTGGGGATAGTCTTTTGTATGCCCACATTGACTTTGACAAAGACACAAACACTAGAACACAACTAATGTCCAAAATATATGATAAAAATCTAAATTAAGAATTAAGATTTATATATATTCACCTATCAAGTTGTTAAGATTTACAATTTTTATATGATAATGACCCTTAGAAGATTAATCAAATCTCTTAAAAGTCAAAACAACTAGTAATTCTTATGAAAATGAGCCTCAAAAAATAAAATAAAAAATGTTATGAGCCTTGCAATATTTATAAATAAGTTTACTATTTAATTTTGTTTTATAATAGAAGTATTAGACAAGTGTTTAGCTAAGAGTAATTGTCTTCTCCCTCTCTCTTGACTTGTGTCCAAACTGGGGTTTGGGGTTGTCAGAAAGATATCTAAGTTGTGTCAGATGTGTCTAAACAAAAATAATAATAATAATAACTCTTAATTGGGATATGGTGGTGACGTGTCAGAGATGTCTAAGTGTTGTGTTCAAAATGTGTCGGACATATCAACATGGCATTCTATTATTGTATCCGTGGTTAGCCTGGTAAGCTCATTCAATTACATTAAAAATGGCTCAAGGCCGAGTCTTGATATAATCCCATCTCTATAAGAAAGTCTTTGGTCTTGCCTCCTAGAATTCTCACATTAGCAGTTAGTTACCCTATCATACATGTCTTGTATAGTCTAAAAATAAGAATAAGCAATGAAAAGTGGATGATTTGTGATTATTGTATTAATTTATAATGTTGGGGTAAATCAGATATTAGGGTCTGTTATAAGAGATATATAGGTTATCTATATCATAGTTTAGAAATTCAATGTCTTGTTTATATCTTGGGTCAGGGATTTCCATATGTTGGATTAGGGTTTATTTTCGTAGGATTTCTTGAGTCTAAAATTGGAGTTGCTAACTAATTACTTTCCTAATTGACATCATAGCTTGGTTATGTGATTTATCGACGAGTGCTGCGCTACTATTCTGGGGAAGAAGATGGTTTAGGTATGTGTCTAAGTTCAAGTTCTTGTTTTTGTTTTAGTTTCTTACTCTCTATTAACAAAGCTCATGCTGCTATATTTATCCATCATCATTTTATGCTTTGTTTTCAGATATGAGGAAGGCATTGTCCCGTGATGTTGAAAAGAAGTCCATCATCCCTCTTAAACGGCCGGTCACTCCTGATGAACTAGAGTATGACTAAATGTGCTTTCCATGCAACTCTGCTGCATGATCTTATTGTGTCTCAAAGCATAATATATTTGTTAGGTATCATATGGTAATTAATTCAATTATTTCCATTTGTTTAATTATCTTAGTTTGTAATATTTCAAATTTTGAAGTAGTAGGATGTACACTTTTGAAAGTTATTCTTACACTACTAGATTACTGACCTATGTTTAAAAGTAAACCCTGTTTGTACTTTGATAGGTTAGGTTGTCAATTTGAGATGAATTGATCATATTGTGTTGGACCTTGGAAGGTTTAATAAATGGAAAATGACCCTAGAAGATAATCTTAACATTATGAATAAGTTTCAAAGGTCAATATGTCATCGATCTTCTATAGTTTTGATTGGTGCTGCATTCACGCCTTTATATGTTTGTTTTGTTTTTTTCTTTTTGATATACTATTTTTTTTTTTTTTAAAAGTCTTGTCTTATAAGCCAATATGTTATAATTAAATATCACTTGCACGTCATTTCAATAGATTACTAACTGTCTCGTTAGAAATTCCTGACCTTGGAAGAGTCTAAATCAAATCCATTTTTAGAAAGAAAATGATCTATGTCGTTTGCTTTATCAGTTGATACCGGACAGTCTCACTCATCCTTGGTTTGGAAGGGAAATGACCAATGACCTTTACTTTATCTCCACCTTATCCTTTTGGTTTTAGGTGCTGAATCTCCGCATCATGTCCTCTGATCATTTGGGTTATGCTCCAGTAATATCTTACATCTGCAGATAGTGGAAGAAGAATATATGTGACGTTAAGATGAGCAGGAAATTTCAGAAATTAATGTGCACATTTGAGGGTTATAATTTTCTTATGCTATGCCCTTGCATCACAACTAAAATCGATTGAAAAGGAATATATACTATGCATGTATTGGAGATCTGCTTAGCCTGGCTGTTGGTAGTAGTGCTGTTAGTGGCAAGATTATACTATGCATCAAAACTTTTTAGGTTTTAGTGCTGTTAGTGGGCCATATAAAAACAACTAGATACAATATGTGGATTCCGTAACAATTTGAAGGAAGTATCTTGGTTCATTGTCACAAACATAAAAATGATTAAGCTATTTGAAAGAATTTCATGGAACTCCTACCACAAACATTGCCGGTATATCTTTATTGCCCCTTCCCTACGCGTAGTAATCAACATCTCCTTGTTTACATTTTAAAACCCATTCATTATATGAATGGTAAAGGCAAATATAGGACTTTCCATGTAGACGCTGGTTTTTGGCCACTAACTACTTGGCTTGATGATCCTTGTGACAATGGTGACGAAGGTTCTTTTAAATATGGAGCAGAAAGAAAAATTGTGCGCGAGATTTTCACACGGTTCAAGAGAGTAATATCGATTAAAACTATAAGAAAACTACCCAAGAACATATTTCAAAAGTCCCTATTCCGCTTTTTTCTTTTTTCCCGAGAATACTATTTTAAAGACCAAATTGTCATTTTGGTTTTTCAAATTTAACCTTAGTTCCTCAATAGATTCGCGATATTAAGTTTTTAAAGTTGGCCATTTCTTCTGTTTTATGCGATTATTCCATTTATTACCCTTTCTTTTATTACAAAACTGATAGACGAATCCGTCCTTAAAATACCCTGAAAGTGTTTATTGAATATGGGATGAGATGTTTCTCAATGCTTATGGCTGTCTGATCTGACAATTAATTTGTTGATATGTTGTCCAGTAAATAACTTTAGGAGAAATTTGTGACATGTATTCCATTGCATTGCATGTACGGTGAACAGTACAATTGTACTATATACTTGAGGCCCACTTGTTACTTTGTTAGTCCTATAGCACATATTTTTGGATGTGCATTGTCTCCAGCCATCCTGCCTCACCAGCAAACAAACCCACCTCTTATGATCAATTACATTTTATATTCTAGTCTTTTATAGCCATTAGATGCAAATCGAGGGTAAATATAATTGCAGCACAGGTAGCACTGCTGAAGAGAGGATCCCTATACCATATTTTGAGCCGTTTTCATTGTTCATTAAGGCTCGACAGATAAACTGTCCAACAGTGGTAAATAGGTGCGCATGCATTGGATTACCTGTGCAATGAACAGTATAACTATGCTATATAGGTGATGCCAGCTTTTACTTTGTTCGACCTACAGGATTTATTTCGCCCGGTCCATCATACACACAGGATCTTGATTAATCAACAAGTTGGACCTATCATGCATTCCAGAGTTTCTCATCTTTTAAGATCAACATATGATTCATCCAAGAAAACCACTTTATTCAGATCGGTGGATGCTTTGGACGAATAGGAATTTTCCTCCTTCAGACATTATTGGGCTCATAATCTATGTTGTGGTCCTGGAGTTGCATTTAAAAAAAAAGTTTCACATGAGTCTTCTATATGTTACGTGGTCCACCAATATTTCCTCCTTTTCGTGCTATTCGTAGTTAGAACTTTTTTTTTAATCTCATTTCATAACCCAAAAGGATAGAAAGAAAAAAAAAAAAAACAGAATTTTCCTCTATATATGGCTGTCCTACTCACAGATATTGGTGGACCAAAGTATCTCAGATTGGTTGATAAAAAGGTATCTCTCACATTGATGGATGAGCTGAAGAGAACCCAAGCATGGACAAAGACGGGTCATTAACGCCTGTATGTTTCCTGCTTACACAGCAGATAAACAATCTAGAAAGGAGTTGGAGACGAGGAGAGAAATTAGAAAGAAAAGAATAAACGATAAGTTGAGTTAGAGAAAAGTGGAGAGCTAAAAATAGGAAACATTGAAAATTAAACTAAGTAGTGGTGAATTGATCATTCCAAAAACAAAAGTAGTGGTGGACACGTGCCTTTTGTCCATCGTGGGATGATATATTGTACCAAAACCATAGATTGAAGAAAGTGGTAATGTGTGGGTTTGAGGGGCATTACCAAAATGGGTTACACTCCAAACACTCACTTACTCACCCACTTTTGCAGCTGATACTGATACGATGTCAAATCTGAGGATTCTTCTTCTCTTTCCGGTTGAAACCTCCAGCTCTATCTATTTGTCTTCATTACTAGCTTGTCCATGACATGGGCCTGATGGATGGCCATGGGGATTGCAATTCTCATACCCAATAAAACCTTTACTGGGAAACTGATTTTGCAGTTATGGTGACCCGCTTTTAATGGCAAACACATGCAGGCCTCATGATGCCACCCATATCCTGAGTGTGGTCATCATCAAGTTGGGGATATGGCGACCTCACATCGATGTGTGCACAACTATATGCTTCCCACATCAAGATATTCACTTTAGGTTGGTGGAGCCCCGTGACCTTTCTAGATCTTGACACGCTATACAACTCTTATTCGCCACTCTCTCTGACAACTGTCTTATAAAATCCCTAACCTTTATAGGGACAACTTTTCACCCATTTTATCTTTATCACATACTTTCATGCAACTAGGATCGATTACAATGAGTAGTGTATAGATAAGGTATTATACTATTTAAATAAGATATAATACGAAAGTTTTGTACAAAATACGTGTATAAATAAGATATTATACTATTTCTTCCACCCCATTTTGTGTATAGATCAGTGTTTAAAAACCCTGCTCGAACCGGCCGGTCGGACCGGTTGGATCGGGAACTGGTGGTCCAGCCGATCCGAATTTTAAATTGGATCGGTTATGCAGTGGACCCATTTTAAATCGGATTGAACTGATTAATTTTTCGGTTCAACCGATAAATCGGTAGGTCAAACCGATTCAACCACTTTTTTTTCTTTTTTTTTTTTAAATTTTTCTAAGGGATCATAAACCACAAAAATAATAATGAAAATTGAATCTCTTAATGGAAGAACAAAGATTCTTATTAAATATAACAATGACTACTTGTTCTAATGTATTTGTTTATAATATATACAACTTAAATAATTTTTATAGTATATTATTAATTTTAAATTATATATTTAATAATATAATATATATGTAGATATTATATATATTATTTTGTGATATCAATTGCAAGCATATTATATATGTACATATTATTTATATTTTTAATTTGTATTAATATATAATTTAACATGTAATTTTTTATATATTTTTTTACAAAATAAAAATAAAAATAATTTTAAATAAGATAGAAAAATTGAAATTTAAAATAATATATGAATTAATTAAAATTTATAAGTATAAAATATATTTAATATGAATATTTTTTTAATAAAAATAAATAAAAATCGAGTCATGCAGTTCAACTAGTGACCCACCGGTTCAACTTTTGACCTGCTGACCCAGTACCTTAACCGGTTCGATGACCGGTCCAGTTTTTAAAACTATAGTATAAATAAGATTACATCGGATACAATAAAAAATAAAAAAAATACACGAAGTGATAACTCATCATGTACAAAAATTTAATATTGTTAGTGTCAATTGAATAGAAAGAATTATATTACATATTTTAGAAAATTAAAATATTAAATTAAATATTTTAGTAATATAGAAATTAAATTAAATTAATTAAGAATAGAAAGAATAATTTAGTAAATATTATAATAATTAAAAATAAAACTTCAACAATAACAAATTTCTAATGTGGTGGTGATGCAATTTGATGGGATAGTTCTTAAAGCTCACCATGTTAGTCTAATTACAACTTAATAATCTAAGTCTTATAAAGTCAAAAAAAAAATTTGATAAAGGTGGCACAAATGATTAAGTCTTTTCATTTATATTAATTAAATCTTGAGATTAAATTTGACTTTTTTGTGCTTTATATCTTTCCATGCAAACTTGTATTTAAAATGAGATAGATAATCTTACTATAAATTTTCAAAGAATTTAATTAGTCAAAAAATTAAAATATTTAAGTTTATTTTTTTAAGTATACTTAACTTTCTTTTCTTGATTATAACATATTAATTAGGTCAAAAGAGTGAAGAGAAAATTAAAATTTCAATGGAATAAACAAGAAAAAGAGAGAGAAATCTTATATTTTGGTTGTGGGAAGAAAATAAGTTTGATTTTCCTCCCCCATTAAAAGATTTGAATGGAAAAAGGTGCACCAAAAGAAATGTTCCATATTACATAATGTGTTTTTGATGGTTTCGAACTTAAATATTGCATTTGTAGATGTGTTAAATATCTTAAAGAAAATTTTTGTTGCATATAATTATCTCACTTAATTTGAACAAATTTGCCACCCATAAAAAATATTTATAATTTGTTAAAAACAAAACGTGTTTTAATATAATACACAATTTGAAAATGTGTTTTTTTTACAAATTGTTAACATTGTTATTATAAATAATCACCTTAAACCCTTAAAAAAAAATAATCGCCTTAAATTTTGCCTTATTCTTACATACTAATTTTAATCATTTATCTTAATTTTTAATTTATTTTCATTTTTATCTATTAAAATATTTATTTTGATATTTTATTCTTATATTAGATGAATTTGATAATTTTAAAATAATAACCATTTTTTATTTTTGACATCATTTTAAATCAAATTTTGATTAATTCAAGATATGAAACTTATAATACTAGAATCATCTTAATTAATGTTATAATATAAAAAGATTATAATATAATAAAAATTGTGTGAAAAAAAATAATCTTATGAATAATTAGAAAATAGTACAAAATTAATTTTTAATTTTTTTTATTATTGTACCAACTTTTTATTTTTAATCCTGTACTTAAAATTCTATATTTAACCTCTGTACGAGCATTTTTAATTTTATATTTTAGTATCTGTTGTTAATTTCCTATCAATATAAAAACCATCATAAAATAGAAATATTAGGATTAAAATATAAAAATTATTTATACTCTTAGAGAAAAAAATTCATAAATATATTTAAAAAATTTATATATAAAGATAAATTCTTTTTTACGTAGATGAAGAGAAAAAAAAATAATCTTGAATTCCAGCCATTAAATTTTTATTTAATAAATCACATTAAATTACAAATTTTCCTTAGTTTTTGAAAAGGCAAAAGTGTAAGGAGACAAGAAGACAAGGAGTGCTTTTATGAGTAGCAGGTCTCATTGCTTTAACGCTAAGTCGCTGTTACGAATGGCCTGACTTTCAGCATGGTCTCGATTTGCGGCTACTACGGCGGTGGATTCGGATTTTCTACTGTTGGATTCCAAATAATCCAACCTCCTTATGAGACTGTCTCTACAGTTCATAGCTTCATTTTCTTCTTTCCATCAAGCAAAAGAATGTTGCACCCTATACGTGGTTTGAAAAAGATGTTTCTATTTCTTTTTTGGTTAAAACTTTTATTTGGTCCTTTATAATATTTTTTTATTTTAATTTAGTCTCACTTTAATTTTTGGTTTCAATTTGATCTTTAATAATTTAAATTATTGCAATTTGGTACTTCTGTCCAAATGATTTAAACGGGGTTAACTGTTGACTACGTGGATACCAGGTGGATGCCACGTAGATGCCACGTAGATGGATGCTAAATTTCTTGAATACACCTGGAACTAGAACGACCCGTTCTGAAACTAGAACGAACCGTTCTGGTTGCACTCTTAGTGTGTAAATTTTGTACCTGGAACGGGATGTTCCAGATGCCAAATTTACACACCAATAGTGTAACCAGAACGGGTCGTTCTGGTTTCATAACGGCCCTAGAACGGCCCGTTCTGGTTCTAGAATGGTCAATGCCTACAGTTCATGGTTGTGAATCGTGCAAGGAAAAAGACCCAATGTACAAAGTATTTCAAACACTAGATTTGGTAATATTGTCAATGGAGATTGATAACTTCAATTGCTAAACATTTGGGCTATAAGAACGATGCAGTGTATCACTAAGGACAATGGTAGCAGGTTTTATTTCATTGTTAGTCAAATTGGAGTGAACCACTTACTACCAAATTGATACTATACAGTCAAGGATGAAATGAAATGATGTTTCCCCTTGAAGTCATTGACGATGTACCCCAATATTAACAACCTGTTCTTGAGGAGGTACAACCTGAATTTTTGTGGTTTAGGATTTCCCTCCAGCGTTACCCAGATGATTTCCTTTCTCAGTAATTTCTTTGAACCTTTTAAGTATATGTTATGTTCTGAATTTTTGTTTTCAGTTTCTGAACCATGTTTCTGTTTTTGAATTTATGATATATTATGAATTTTTATTTTCAATTTTTGAATCACAGTGCGGCATTTTGGTCAACGCATGCATGAAGTTGGCGTTCTGGAACAGGCCGTTCTTAATCCAGAACGGCCCGTTCTAAAACCAGAACGGCCCGTTCTAGTTTCAGAACGGCCCGTTCTAATGCACTCATGGTGTGTTAAATTTGCATTTGGAACGGCCCGTTCTAATTGCAAAATTAACACATAACATGTGCATGCAGAACGGGTCGTTCTGGTTTCAGAACGGGTCGTTCTGGTTCCAGGTGTATTCATAAAATTTGGCGTCCACCTATGCATCTACGTGGCATCCACCTGGCATCTACGTGGCATCCACCTGGCATCCACGTGGCCAACAGTTAACTCTATTTAAATCATTTAGACGAAAGTCTCAAATTGCAATAATTTAAATTATTGGAGACCAAATTGAAACCAAAAATTAAAGTGAGACTAAATTGAAACAAAAAAAATATTATAAGGGATCAAATAAGGATTTTAACCTTCTTTTTCTTTTACCATTCTAGTTTTGCATAGCAAACCAAACTATGAATAACTTTAGTTATTATTTCATATCGTCGCTTTGGAATTCAAACCTTGGTACTATATCTAATTCTAACATGATTATCTTTAGTAAACACATGATTTCTTTTAATAAACATTGATCATACAATATTTTAAAGTTGATAATTAAAAATTAATATATTTATTAAATATTTTTTTAATATAGATAAAAAATTAAACATGATAATAAAAAATAATACATGTATTATAAAAAAAAAAATTATTAGTAGAAATCAAACTTACCAATAAATTACGTTAGAATATAAACAAAGTTTCACATCATTAGGTCATAAAAAAATTATAAAATACACGTAATCTCTATTGGTATGAAACATTTTAGGGGATAACTAAAATTAAAATCATAAGGATTTAAGTTTAAAGTGAACAATATTATATCACCATAAAGACATGTGTGTGTGAATGTTGAGTCCAACAGTAATATTAGAATCAATGGTCGACTAAGTGACTAATTCAAAGTCCTAAACGAGTATTTCGTAATAAGAACCGAGTATTTGGCAATGGTGGGTCCAAGTGTCGGATCCCTTGTATCAAAAGTCTTCCTAATAATGTGAAGATAAAGTGACATGTTCCATTAATGTGAATTAACGACAATGCAAATATCTAGAACTAACAAATGTGGCTAAAGCTCTAAGGGTCTCTATTGCATATTCATAGATGAGAGAAAAAAGGTTTTCGTTGAAGGGATGTTCAACCA